AGCCAGCGGTCTGAATCCACTGAAATGGAAAGCGACCGCTGCCCATAAACATCCGCAATTGCAGATGCGTTGCCTACCTTGAATTGACGGAGGAGGAGACGCACTGAAAGAGGACATATCCCCTCCCTATGCGTCTCTTCCACCGTCAAATTCCATTTTCCTTCTCATCCTTTCCTCTTAAGAAAAGGGTGGAAAGAGAAAGGGACTACCATTAGGTCTCCGGCACTACACTCATCAGACTGTACGCGGAATTGCTTTTACTTCACGCCTGTTTTCTGTGTGGTCGTGGTATTACATCGGGCGATCCGGCCCATTCGTGCGAAGATGTTAAAGAAAGTGTTAAGCCAGACCTCTATTTTATACTAGCTGTTGCTCAACTTCGAAAAATACAGCCTATGTTACTCACTGATAACGTTTAATAATGGTAAAAGAATTTTTGAAATCCAATAGTTGTTGAGGTATGTTAGTACAATTAATTAAGTGGATGGATTTAAATCCCCAGTCAATCCAATGCTATATTAAAATATAAATCTTTAAAATGCTAGTTTTATGTTTCTTAATAAAATACCTTGAGAAAACCCCGACCAACGTCACGCAGTACTTTATCTTTGTGGTTATCAGCGTTTGTTAAACGTTAATTGATAAAATCAAGAAAACAATTGGGAAAATTATATAGTTTTAAATACCATTCACAACTATAACATAACTAAGTTTCACCCGCGTCTCTGTCTGCTTGAAATTTTAAAATAAATAGTAGCTTATGTGTTCATCCAGACTATCTACATCTGTGCTAAATTTCATCGAGATTCGTTCAGCTGTTTAGGGTACAACCAAGAATGTAATGTGTATAGAAAGTAAGAATATTAGGAAACATGGGTGCCATTAAGATCTAGGTATTTGTAGGGTAGTTTTCAGCTATCATTAAAAGAGTTAATTCATTTTTTATGTCTATTTTGCATCGCTTAGGGGGACCCACCTGGTAACGCCCATGTCAGGAAGTTGTTAGATTCGGAAAGCAGAAGACCATATACAGCAAAAGGCATTGATAAAATCTAGCAGTGGATGATGATAAAACTTGAAATTGCAGTTAAAATATTTATTGTTCTCATATAAAATGACAACATAAGTTACGAGTATTGTGAATTAGCTAACTCCTCTTATCTTGAAATAAATTAAATGCAGTATTTTGTCCTAGAAAACTCTAGACATCGAGTCAAAGACATTAATATATAGAACAGGCATATTTTACACATCATTTGAAATGTTTTTCACCTATCACTAGCGCTATCTGTTGATCATATGTCAATCTAATTAATTTTATATAAATGTTAATACAAGGATACGAGGCGACTGATATAGTACCTTTTAAAGAAAGTACCGTAAGAAAAAAGTTCACTGCCTCGTCTATATATTATTTAAATATCTGCTTCGAGTTCATTCTTCTGAAGAAGTTACGCGTCATACGTCATGAAATTTTATCACAACAAATATGGCCAACACAATAGTGACAGTAACAGTTTCAAAATGGCCGTCTCAACACGAACACGTTTTATTCTAGTGTTAATATTTCTATTATTAGTTCAAAGTTCACCAATGAGGCCAAAACTGACCATTACTGCATTCTATCCAAAAGGATTACGTCTTTTAGTAGAAGGTTACTTTAATTTATAATTACGTGATATTGTTGACATGTCGTGATCAAATGGGCATTTTTTAAACAAAATACAGTAACAAGTTACGTGTTTTAAAATAATGTGAATTGGTTAAGAAAGAAGTATATACCGACAAGGATATCTGTTCTGGGCTTGAGATAAACTAAATTATGACATCTCACACATTGTCGTATGATCATATATCTATATAAATAGATGGGTGATTGTTTTGAAATGACACTTATGCTTATTTCCGACTGAAACGTATTTTTTTATGATATTTACATTATGAGTTCGAAAACTCATCACCGCAACCATCTTTGCTTATATGGCAAAAAAGCAAAATGTTAGTTTGTAGCCTATCCATTTATAGAGGTCAGTGGCTGTATTTGTCTTGTCCTTGTTACTTAATTTCTGATAGATCTAACTGAGATAGCTGTTTTAGCAAAAAAAGGGGAATATTAAAGAAACATTAATTTTTCATCTACAAGCTAAGTAACCGAGTTATCTATACTATACTTATCTGTTTATTATAATTACTAGATATAACGCGCCTCGATAACAAATTACTAAATTATTCTCACACTAGCTTACGCCCGCGACTCCTTCCGCATGGTATTAAAAAAAATACAAAAGTGAGTAGCCTATGAGTTTTTCCAGACTATCATCTACATCTGTTAAGCCGTTTAGGCTACAATTTCTAACAAACACCCATCCATCCATTTAAACTTTCGCATGTATAATATTAGTATGATTTAGAGCGTGCACGCTTGAAACTAAATTATCGCACAACTGTAGTCTCGCTTTGATTCCTATGAGTTTATAAGAAGGTGCACGCTCTACTCGATTTTTAGTTGTGCGACTAAACAGTCGAAGGGCTGCGCAACAGTTGTGGGATAGTTTAGTTAAAGGTAGACTTAGTATTCACTAAGTTTCTTGCTTAATCTTAACTGCAAATTTACAAATTTACATCGACATCTAAATCGGAAGTTATTTCAGAAAGTTTAGATGGATGATTTGATGAATAGGAGTTTGTAGCCTAAAAGACTGAACGGATTTAAATGAAATTTGGTTTAGATGTGGAGGATAGTCTGGAAGAACACATAGGCTACTTACTTTTATTTTTTTCAATTCCACGCGGACGGAGTCGCGCGCGAAAGCTAGTAAAAGATAAATTAAGAATCTACTAACTAAGTAACTTGTAATAAACTCTTCAGTAATATATCATTCTCTAGTTTTAGATGATTCGACACTAATTAACTTCAAATTCAAAGGCAAAATAAAAAGGGCGAACAATAATTGTGACGACGATGAAATTATTGCCAACGTAACAGCATTAACAAACGGGAGATGGGTTTACGAAGATCCTTACGTAAAATTGAAATTCGCTGACGTCATCAACTACGATATCCAGTATCTACATCAATATTATGATAAATATAAAATGTACATGAATTTGAACGTCAAGTATGTTGTACAAGGTAAGATATCTGAAGAATACTAGATTTCTCCCGCGGCTCATCCCGCATGGAATTAAAAAAGCAAGTAGTCTATGTATTCTTCCAGACTATCCTCTACATCTATGCCAAATTTTATTGAGATTTTCAGCAGTTTAGGCTACAAACTGTAACATCCATCTAAACTTTCGCATTTACAATATTAGTAAGAAGTTAGATTAATGCATATGGGTGTCAAAACTATCACAAATTAACCCCTCTAACACCTCTTAGATGGATACGTTGAATTACCAATAACCCTATTTATTAATACTATATCTATACTAATATTATAAAGAGGAATGATTTGTATTTTTGTATGTATTTAATTCACGTAAAAACTACTGGGCCGATTTAAAAACAAATCCTTTAGAAAGGTAATCAATCTGTGAGTGTTTATTATTATTTTTTTAATTTCACGCGGGCGAAGTCGCAAGCAACGTCTATTTAAACTATAAAACCTTTATATGGGTATTCCAGAAATAGTAATTCGGGATGATACTTGGGGTTGTCTGCCTACTGTGACACGACTACGCGTTGGTACCGCGTGCGCTGGCCGGATAATATTCGAGGACAACTTCAATAGTCTCAACGAGGACTTGTGGCAAATCGAACAATACATACCAAGTGAACCTGTAATGTTTATTACTGTAACTAAGATAAAATTAACTGCAACCAACTCGCTCGCGATTTGCATGATAAAAATTGTAGGCGAATGTTATTCTCGCCAGAACTTTTGGTAGCAGTTTCAGTAGCTCCGAGAATTGCGTTAAAGATGATATAAACGACCAAGCGGTATACCTGTAAAATTACCGCTACATGTGACTGCAATAAAGGAGCTGTAAATGGAACCCCGCGTGAAAGGCGACATGATCAAGAAGGGAGTGATGACTGAGATGACGGATGATAGAAAGCTTTGGAGGACGAAAACCCGGCGTGCCGACCCTTCGGGTGTAGGACAAGGCAGGGGAGATGACGATGAAATGGAACACCGTTCATTTGGATAGCATTAAATAGAGTAGACATCGATTGCAATAAAGGACCTGTAAATGGAACTCCGTTCATTTGGATAGAAGATAGGATTAAATAGAGTAAACATGGATATGACAAAGAATCTAAAAGGATAAGATTGAATCGCCGATCTGTTCGCATTAAACATGAATAAAGGTTTATTTCTTCCAGGAGTACTCGTTCGTATCATATCAACGACCACCAAATGCGCAGACTGTGAGGGTACATCGAGGACATTTGCGGATTGAACCAAAACTCCAGCAGGAACAAGAAAACTTCAGTAATGAATCCTTGTGCACTGGATCACTCAATCTCTTTAGCGGGTATCGGAACATATTATTACTTTGTTCCTCTAAGTATAAGATATAGGATACTCTACTAGTGGTGTTTCCAAACCAGTACGACTTAGGATCCTTCAAGAAGCGAGCCTACCATTACCTCAAAAGCCGGCAACACATCTGTAGTTCCCCAGTTACGAATGTCCACGGGCGTCGTTAAGCACCTTGGTGTTCCCACTGCTCCTTTCACCACTTTATTATTAAAAAGAGGAACAAAGTACTTTTAAAACTGAATTTTTATTGTTGGTAGATGTACGAGGACAGCAGAATCGTGCAGCGTGACCGCGACAGGCGCTAGTATACTGCCGCCGGTGGTGAGCGGCCGTCTCACAAGCAAGACCTTCGCATTCACTTACGGCGTTGTTGAAATCAGAGCGAAACTGCCACAAGGAGACTGGCTTTATCCCGGTAATTTTTATTGAATCAACTAGTAGTTAGCGTAGTATCTAGAAATGAAGATGTGTTGGCGAATGTAAGGGAAAAAAACGAAATCGCTTATGCCAAAATGGCTGTTGATGCATATAATATTGTGCAAGAACTACAAGTAATATTCACTATGGTCACATCTAGCGAGGTTTTTTTTTAACTTATATTTTTCAGAAATATTACTGGAGCCTTTACTCAAAAAGTACGGTACGCCTAACTTCGCATCTGGTATCATAAAAATAGCATCGGCACTCGGCAACCGCGAGCTCCGTGACGGACCAAACGAACATGGAAATAAGGTCTGTTTGAACAGGCTACAAAACTGACTAACCCTTAAAGAAAATATTTTGGGTAGGGCTTTTCATTTTTGCACAAATCAAGTTTGTCTACATTAAACTGTTTTTGCAAGGTATTTTTCAGATATAAAACCTTGATGCTTTTATATATTCCAGGTTCTATATGGAGGTCCAATAATGAACTTGGCATGTCGAGATGTGTTGACGGAACGTAAGGAGTTGTACAATGGATCACAGTGGGGAGACGACTTCCACGTGTACAAAGTGCGGTGGACTCCAGGTACACAAGTTATGTTTTGTATCCCTATTTTTATGGCGATCGAACATATTTTGTACTCCTTCTAGCTACCCAATTAATTAAGATAATTTGCTCGATATTAAGGATTTCTTACGGACGTTCTAGATTTGTTAAGCTTTAAAGTGGACGACGAGGACTGGCTGCGCGTGGAGCCAAGGGAAAGCGGTCTTAGCGGCCGCTTTGAACGTTTCTGCAATATTCCTCGGACCTACCTCTCTCAAGGGACTAAGATGGCACCTTTCGATGACCATGTAAGTACATTTGTCACTTTCCAAATAGTACTTTAACCAATAAACCAACCCAGTATATAGCGACCTTCGACTATCTACGCTCCCTTTTACATCTTAAGAAGGGGGTGACTGAAAGCCAGCTCGACACTGGATCAACCAGTATCGGTTAAGCTGAGCCTCCCCCTTTTGCCATCTGTAACAATTTTTCGTGTATGTTTTTTATTTTGTACAACTCTGTGTATACTTTTGGTTGGCAATAAAGAGATTTTTTATTTATTTATTAAACTTACGTACTTAAACAGCAGAGCGTCGGTGGCTCAGTGGTTTAAGCACTTGACTTGTAATCTACAGGTCTTGGGTTCGAATCCCGCCATGTACCAATGTGATTTTCGATTTTTCGAAATTTAATATGTACATAGTTTAACCGACGTTCTTACGGTGAAGGAAAACATCGTGATGCAACCTGCACATTTCGGCGTAGAAATTCAAAGATATGTGTGAAGTCAACCAACCCGCACTGGGCCAGCGTGGTTGACTATGGCCTAGTCACCCCTTATTAGGGTAGGCTCAAAGCCCCTCGGTGGGGACATGTAGTGAGCTGGTGAAAAAAAAAAAGAAAAAACTTAAACAGCTTCAAGCATTATGACTACTTAAAGATGCTCAGTAAACTATTTGAACTGTTCCTGTAGAGCTGCCTTTAATTTTTCTAGAAGTTGGCGACCTGACAGTATTTAAAAACATAAAATCAAGTTTTAGTTTCTTAACTTACTTCCAGTTCCAATTAACGCTGGGCGTGGCTGCTGGAGGGATCACGGAGTTCAAAGATGGCGTTATCACAGGGGACGGTCACCCGAAGCCCTGGAGCAACCGGAATAGGAAAGCTAGCTACAACTTCTGGAGGGACTTGCCAGCCTGGCAACCTACATGGCGACAGCCCGCTCTACTAGTGGATTATGTCAAAGTTACTGCTCTGTAAGAAAACGTAAGACGATATCGTTTTTGTAAATATCATTGATAACACGATAATAGTGCAGCTTCTAGGTCCCTGCAGTTTTGTCAGACTAGTCGAATTCAAGTGTCAGTGGTCGCCTTTGCACATTAGTGCAAAAGCGTGGTGACATTCACCTTAACATAAAGGATCTTTTTCAAACAGAATGTGTTTCTATAATCAAACTAATTGTAATGCGAATGTTAATGAGGTTGGATGGATGTTTGTTAGTTTGTAGCCTAACGCTGAACGGATTTCGATAAAATTTGATATAGGTGTAGAAGATAGTCTGGAACATAGAGGCTACACTTGTTTTTTCTCAATTCCGCGTGTACGGAGTCGCGGGCAAGCTAGTTGTAAATAATTGTGACTAATGTCTGTTTTCACGGACCAGCCCTTTTGATACATAAGAATATTGTTGTGTCTTCAGTTAAGGGTCTCCTTTAATGTAAATAAAAGTATAGTATAAGTATAAATAAAAGTACAATTATGAACTTAGGTGATACCTACACGTTGTTAATAACAATATTCGTAATAACTTAAAAAAAACAATGTCCCGTTTTGAGTTGAAAAAATATACGGTCACGTTTTACACCTAGTCGCACAGGTTGATTAGTTTTGTAACTTTTTTTCTGCATAATCAAATGTCATTATAAAATAAGACTACGTCATCAGTGACGTCACGCGGCACATTATCGCCTCTGACGTATTTAACTCTTGCGTATATCGCATCTAAAATAAACTTGATATTTAGGTTTCGATCGAACGCGTTGGTTTATTATTTTGAAATAATATTTCACATAGAAACTAACGTAAGGATAACAGAGTAAAGTAATGAGTTTTACTTAACTTGCGTAATATTCCTGTGTGTTCTTGTGTCCAAGAGGGGACCAATTGGACGACACAAAGTGATTATTTATATAAATATTTTAATTGGTTCATCATCACCAGCTCACTGTATGTCCCCACCGAGGGGCACGGATCCTACCCTAATAAGGGGTGACTAGGCCATAGTCAACCACGCTGGCCGAGTGCGGGTTGGTTGACTTCACACATATCTTTGAATTTCTTCGCCGATATGTGCCGGTTGCATCACGATGTTTTCCTTCACCGTAAGAACGTCGGGTAAATTATGTACATATGAAAATTCGAAAATCACATTGGTACATGGCGGGATTCGAACCTAAGACCTGTGGATTACAAGTCAAGTGTTCAAACCACTGAGCCACCGACGCTCGTTTTAATTGGTTACTACTTGATTTATTAGTTTTTTATTTGCTATCACGGATTGACTTCCATCACGCTAAACCAACATTATGCGATAAATTCGATTACAATAATTCACTTTGAAACATGCAAATCGTTTACGATAAACGTGGCAACTGTGTGGGATCAAAACTAATCACCGAACAATTGTGAAGTTCGTCTTTTTATAATCTGACTAGATGTATTAAATTCATTTTTAATTAATAGACAAAAAAAACGAGAATGATCTGTTGTTCGCATCCACGACTTGATCTGTAGTTCATCTAATCTGAAACTCCAAAACACTAGACAGTCTGCTTTAGAGTGTGAGGTCACTAAAACTAAATTATCGTACAACTGTTTTTCTTGCTTTTATTCCTCTAAACTTATATGGAGGTGCGCACACTACTCGAGTTTTAGTACAAACAGTTGAATTGTCTGCGAAACAATCGACAGTCGCACAACAGTTGTGTAAAAGTTTAGTCGGAGTATTCATTAACACTTGGTCTAGAAATGCTATCACGTGAATCTTAAGGCAAGCAGTGTGATAATTCGCTTTTGAATACGAGACGAAGGCCGATGGAAAATAGTCGGTTTGTGTTTCTATTCCCGGCTGCCGGCGAACGCATAATTTTTAAATTTGTTTACACGACGCCGCGCCGACCGCCCCGGCTTGTTTATACGATATTAATAATACATTTCGATAATTTCCCGATTAATTTATCTTTGTTTTTTCACAAAACAAGCGAACACTGTTATTGTAGGTACTTACTTTTAGTTTTAACGCGATTGATCTCCGTGTTATAGTACTTTTTGACCTTAAATATCCTTTCATCATCTTTTCAATTTGCTTAGAATTAAAAAATGTTATACATTAATTAATAGTTACTGATTGTCAATGTTCCTTTCTAATGGTGAAAAATACTTGTAATCGGTCCCGTAGTTTTTGAATTTATTCGTTACATCCAAAAAACAAATCTTTCTTGTTTAAAATATTAGCATGGAAGGAAAAAGTTAATCGATCACATTAATATTTGAAAAAAAAAAGGATTAATTATGCGAGGTTATGACCCAAAATTTCGTCGATTTGAGTTGAACTATTTAACTACGTCGTAGTCTTTGACTCCAAAAATCAAACAAAAAATTGGAACCCACGTGCAAGCATTACCTTTCGGTTAAAAAAGGAATTATCATAATCGGTCCACTAGCGGCGAAGTTATGCCGTAACACACATAATAAAAAAAAATAAAAAAAAACATACAGACGTCTTGAGTACCTCCTTCTTTTGGGAAGTCGGTCAAAAAATAGTAAAAATACAGCCTATGTCACTCAGTGATAACATAGCTTTTTAATGGTGCAAGAAATTGAGACCGGTCGAGTAGTTTTTGAGTTATTTCAATACATACAAAAATACAAATCTTTCCTCTTTATAATATTTGTATATATTAGTATAGACTACAAGACTCAAGAAAGTGAAGAAATTCGGCTTAAAAGTGCCAAGCAGTCAAAATATCTTAACATATTTAACTCAGTGTCAAATACATAACACACTTTCATGTGAAATTTATAAAAGAGATGAAAGGTAAGGTCCGTTTCATGTAATTATATTGAGAATTGATTTATGAATTTTTCACACTATGTGCCAAGAAATTTTGATTCATACCCACGGTTAGACGGAAATAAACGAATCAGGGGTTTTTTTTTCAAAGAATTAGTTATTTCTAAATGAATATGTTAGGATTTTAATTCGATTTACAGTAAAAATCTACCATATTATTAAATTTTCTTAATCCCGTATCCATTTTCGGTATAGCACAACAAATTTTCTTCAACAATTCAAGTAATCATACTTAGAGCCTGTCCCATCACTAGCTGATAAAATGACGTCACTGAAAGATAAGGTAACAAAATCCGATGTTCCCATCACATATTTTACACGTTGGATTGTTATCAGACCACAGAATTTTGTGGACCCTTAATATTATAAATGCGAAAGTTTAGATGGATGGATGTTTTTTAGAAGTTTGTTTGTTTGGTTAAACGGCTCAACGGATTTCGATGAAATTTGGTATAGATGTAGAGGATAGTCTGGAAGAACACATAGGTAATCACTTTTGTTTTTTAATTCCTCGCGGTCGAAGTAGCGGGCGAAAGCTGGTAAATTTATATTATTGTACCTTTATTTTTAATTCACTAAATATGTCAGAAAGACTATAAATTTTCTACATGAAAATAAATACCAACCCGCAGTGGGTCAGTGTGGTGGACTATGGCCTAGTCACCTTAGGTTAGTCCCCGAGCCCCATAGTGGACGTATTATGAGGTGATGATAATTTTACTTTGTTTATTCGTCTTTAAACTTATAACGATTGTTTTGATATCTTCAGCAATACAGCAAAGCTTTCCCTCGACTTAACTAATTCTAAGTAAAGTTGAATTTATGATTCTCAAGTAAAGTTTAAGTTATGATTCTCAAGTAAAGTTTAAGTCGGTTTGCGAAACTTGAAACCCGTGAAATACGAGTTAACCGGCTTTAAGTCTCTACATAATCTTTACTTGTTTGTTTTAAATTAGAAGTTTAATTATTCATTACTTTCTGACTTTATTTTCTTTTCAGAATTATGTATATTTATCTTATTTACTAGAAAAATGATTATATCACACTCGTTACGTTCACTGTTTTTTTAATTATTTCATAAAAGATTTTTCTTAACTCTATGACTTCATTTATTAAAGTGAGATGTTATTGTACTGCTGTCGATACATTATTAAACTTTATTTATCTATCGTAGTGGTCATGCCTTAAAAGCTATACCGTGCCTGAACTGTCCGGCCGCCTGAGCGGACGCGGGGATAGACTATTATTCCTATAATCAAATCCCTTCTCTTCATATCCATGCAGAGAAATGCTTTGACAAAGCTCTCACACGAATTAGTCGCATTAAAAACTACTACGGTCGCGCAAATCCGATGCAACAAGTAAGCCCCCGGGGGCGCCGGCGGGGCAGGGCCGGGGAGAGGCGGGGCGCGCCTGAAAACTGAAACGTTCAGTATCGTCGCGACTATGGCTACGGACGGACGCACGAAGCGCTCGCAGTCGATATGCGCTCCCGCCTCCGCGAGTATGGAAGCGCTGGCCGCGCCGATGGAGACGACGCCGGCGCCGCGGCGCAGGCCGGCCGCACGGTCGCAGTCGGCGCGCATCACCGGCGGCCGCAGCGTACGCCACCGCCGCCAGCAACAACAGCAGCAGCAGCTGGACCGTGAGACCCGCGCACGCTACAGCTCCGAACCTCGGCTAGCGGATGCCGAGACCCCGCCGCAGGTGCGCCGGCAGGCGTCCGCTCGCCGCCGCCCGCCACCCGCTCAGCACGCCGCGCACGCCCAGCCTCGCCGCTCCAACGCTTTCTTGGACGTGCCGCGCGCCGCGCACCCGCCCGACGATGAGCCCGACGAGGACTCTTACCGACTCCGCACATTTAACACCACGCAAAAAGGAGGTCAGTGCTACGACGTTCATTCACCTCCGTAACGTTTAATTTTAAACACGTGACATGATCACCTTTTTAAATACGCGATGAAAATTTTGGCAATCGTCCGGAGCGGTCTGCGGCGGAGTGTTTTCCCTCGTGATGGGTTGTGGGGCGCCGCCGAGCCGAGTGTGTGCTACACATTACCCAGTGTACAGCATAGCACGAACGTTCACGACTGTCTGTTGTGAATCATGCCCGAGTGTTTCGTTTATGAGGGCGACATAAATCAGAGCCGATACAAGCTTTCGCGTTTACTTTTGAGGTAAAAATAAATCTGGTCGACGGTGAAACTGTAAACATCATAAAATCTGCCAGAGATTTTGAGATTTTTAATAAAATTACACAATTCACCTTTTTATATTTGTATGAGTGATTGCCGAAACGATAGGTTGAACAAGATGTTGCGTTAAGATCAACATGTGTTATGCCTGATTTCACATCATGCTGACTGACATACCGCCTCTACGTTATTTTAGATACTGATTTATTAGAAATTATCTTTGGTGGATATTTTCGAATGTGTCTTTACAATCATAACCAAAAATGCGAAAAAAACTGGCATCAGCTTTAAAATTGAATAAAGTTTTCAACTCATGTACTACGTATTGGAAACAAATTTCTTAAAAAGTTTAAGTAGAGATTAAGGATACAGCTTAGGCATAATATTTGTTTAATATTAACTTAGATGATTTTATTAATCCAAATGTTTAAGTTTCAAGTTTGTCTTCATAATTAATATTAAAGGAAGATTTATTAACAAACTTCCAAACTCCAAATCTTAATGGGTGTAAAATACATTTTAATAAGATTCCCGCTTCAAAATTTGTTTATCCCGTAATTGAAATATGAGGGGTTATCAACCTTTGGTATAATATTTGATGATTACGACTTCAACACTATATCTTAATTTACATTTTGTATGTTCGTACTATACAATGAAAATGATACTAGCGGTAGTCCTTTTCTTGGGTACGAAACATTTTTTTAATTCCTAATAGATTATAGATATTTCTAATAAATTCTAAGCTAATATTAAAATATCTAAATGTTATTCCATACTAACTGTGACATGTATTTTTAAATCGATGAAGTAGTTTTTGAGTTAATTCGATGCAAAAAAATATTTTTCTAAATTATTTATGAAATTTTGATAAATATGAAGGACAATATTTAATGGAAAATATTCGGATTATCATTTTTTTATTGTTGAAACTTCTAACAAATTCTTGCTATTATATTTCATACTAGCTGTTACTCGCGACTTCATCTGCGTAAAATTTTAAATAATATACCCAATGAAAACATAATAATGGTAGAAATTTTAAATAGGGCCAGTAGTTTTTGAGTTATTTCAATACATACAAAAACACAAATATTTCTTCTTTATAATATTGGTATAGATAGATAACATAAGTTTTTTTTATTTACTAGGAAACTATAACATATTTAAGCAGTGTACACGCTTTGTAATTAAATTATTACGTCATAGTTTCCTACACGTTGGAGAAACCCCCGTGGTGCTAATTACGCCTACACTGCGTTTATTAGGAAATTAATTAATTTCATATTAAATGTTAATTATTTTATTGTAGGGTAACAACCGCTTACATTTTCATTTGATATCAGAATTACATTTATAGCCGTTTTTAACGTAAAGCCCGTTGCAAACGCTCAGTTCTAACTGAACAGTTCGACCCTTCCAGTATTTTTTATACAAAAAGATGGAAAACATGCAAACGGCCACCTAAATCCGCCAAAAAGTCGAAGCGACCGCTGCCCATAGACATCCGCAATTGCAGATGCGTTGCCTAAATAGACGAAGGAGAAGACGCACATAAAGAGGACATTTCCCCATCCTACGCATCTCCTCCACCGTCAAATCCACTTTCCCATCCACCCTTCTCTTAAAGAAAAGGGTGGGACGGGAAAAGGACTAAAATTGGGACTCCGGCACCACACTCATAACACGAAACGCGAAATTCCTCTTCACGCCTGCCTTCTGTGTGGTCGTGGTACACCGGGCGAACTGACCCATTGGTGCGAAGATGTTAAAGCGGGCTCTACTACTGTATAACTGTCAGTATGCAAAAGGATTAACAAGCGAAAAGTTGCATTTAAGATGCTTGGTTTTATATCTTACGTTTAAGGATGAAATAATTAGTTAAATGTTTTCTAAGTAGTTTTAATGACCTTGAGTAATTGATTAAAATCGTTACGTCTTTTAGTTAAGTAGTTTAGTTTTCTCGCGTCAAAGTTGTAATTTCACTTATAAATAAAATAAGTATGAAGATTATACCCAAATCCCTCAAGGAATTCACAAAGGATGCCTTTAATATGCCTTCTGATACCCAAGATTGTTGTACAAATCGCTTCAATACAAATGTATTGAAAATTATGAGATGTAAAAATCTTTTATATCAAATCTGAATAAATCATTCTATTAATATCAAATGTGAATGTTTGTATTTATTTATATTATAATCTGGCAAAAAGCAAACATCCACCAGTATTCGCCGAAATAGCGAAGCGACCCCTGTCCATATACATCCCCGATTGCAGTAATCGACGTAAGAGAAAACTGGACATGAAATATATATTCTGACGAGCTGTTGCCCGCGACTTCGTCCGCGTGGTATTAGAAAACATACAAACTATATAAATTACAAAAAGTTACGTATCCGTCGGGAACCGGACATTTCCCGGGGATGAAGCTCATCCCATGTGTACTCCAGACTTTGTTTTATATCTGTGCCAAATTTCAATAAGATATGGTGCACCGTTGCAGAATGATCGAGTAAACATTAAAAAACTAAATTTATGAATCCCACGGGAACCGTAACTATTCCCGGGATAAAAAGTAGCCTATGTGTTCTTCCAGACTATGCTCTAAACCTGTGCCAAATTTCATGGAGATCCGTTCAGCCGTTTAGGCTACAAACGCTAACAAACATCCATCCATCCATCCATCCATCTATCCCTCCATCCATCCATCTAAACTTTTGCATTTATAATATTAGTAAGATTGTCTTATATGTCTAGCACTACAACATATTGTCGAAATCAACAATCGTTCGGTAACACAATGAAAATAACATTTTTATAAATTCTCCTGACAAATGGTTATAATCTAAACGTAACATTATAAGAAATGTTTAATATCTAAATATGATATAAGGAAAGATGTTAAGCGAAATGGAAAAGATGCCTCAAATGAATTGAGGTAAAATTTAATAAGAATTCTGCACGTCTTTTAGAATAAACGTTTGAGGGGAAAATATCACATGTTTTCGTTTCATTTGGGTTATTACATTTCAAATGAGACATTGGAAGATGTATCAAAATAATTGAAAACCGAAAAATTACCGAATCTTAAAAAAGATAATTTAAGTATTTTAGTCCACAAAATCGACTTTGACGTCTAGACTGCTTATTAGATACTAAGTGTAGTGCTAACAATAATAAGGTTCGTAGTATTTTGGAGTCTCCACTATCCTCCGATTAAGTCCATATTCTCTTATGGCCGGTTTCCCAGCTACATTTAACCTTTCATTACTGTTTTCGATTCGATAACTTCACGAAATGCGTTTCCGAACTACGTAACTTGGGTTTCACTCCGTTTAATCTTAGTTCAATTTTACTATTGGATCACTAAGTAACGTTAAAATAAACTTAAGAAACCCAGCATTAGGCAAAGAGATCTATCTAAAATTTCTATCTTTATTTTCTTGATTTAGAGTAATAAAAACTATTAGAATCGATATGAGTCAAGAGATACCACTTTATATTTTGTAGCTGAAATAAATCGTTTGATTTGTACATCCGTGATATCAAATTTCGATGTTGACGGAGAACAAATATAATTTTAATCTGCGTCAGAGCAGGAAGGGTTCGGAATATATAATTTTACAATATAAAAATCTGATGTTTATTTGTCTTTTATTAGATTTTATATCGAACTTCAATAGTGAATAGAATGTTTTCTCGATTACTATGTTAAAGTATATCTTTAGTATTATAAAAAGGAAACATTTGTTTTTGTATGTATTGAAATAACTCATAATTTACTGGACCAATTTCAAAAATTATTTCACCAATAAAAAGCTACATTATCAGTGAGTAACATAGCTAATGTAACAATTAATCAAAATAAATATTAATCAAACATTGACAACGCTTGTGTGTTATCATCACCATCATCACCAGCTCACTATACGTCCCCACCGAGGGGCTCGGAGCCTACCCTAATAAGGGGTGACTAGGCCATAGTCAACCACGCTGGCCAAGTGCGGGTTGGTTGACTTCACACATATCTTTGAATTTCTTCGCCAATATGTGCAGGTTTCATCACGATGTTTTCCTTCACCGTAAGAACGTCGGGTAAATTATGTACATATGAAAATTCGAAAAATCGAAAATCACATTGGTACATGGCGGGATTCGAACCCAAGACCTGTAGATTGCAAGTCAAGTGTTCAAACCACTGAGCCACCGACGCTCCTATGTGTGTGTGTTATCAATTATTATTAAAAATATAAAAATTAATTTTATTACATCACTAGCTGTTGCGTGACTTCGTCCGTGTGAAATTAAAAAACACCGAAAAATATAGCTTATATTACTCACAGATAAATCACCTTTCTAACGATGAAAGAATTTTAAAAATCGGTATAGTAATTTTTGAATTATATCAATACGTACAAAAATACAATTTTCCTCTATACAATATTAGTAAAGAGAACATCAGTATACCTTTGCTATTAAAATGTGTTTAAATGCTTTTTGTATATATTTATTCGTTAGCAGGCTTTAAGGATATAACTCTGACAGCTAAGGCCAAACAAATAGAACCTTTCAACCTCAACCCCGTTTTAACCCTTGTTATTATTTTGTGATAGATCGTATTTTGCATTACTATGATTTTTTATATATTCATTTTACCTCCATACATATACCTCTTAGAGCAGGGG